AAAGATGAAAACACATTTTGCTTTCTTCTTAACTGCACTAAATAAACATTCCTCTCAATGGGGCCCTTTGAGAAAGGCAAACAGTGAATCTGTACACTACTCTTGTTTTATATATGTTATAAAATTACTAGTATCACTTTTTCACCAAGTTCTTATAGTCTGAAGGGCAAATCCATGAAACTCAATAAATATCCTCTAATTCTATCTAATTCCTAATCTGAGAATGGCCTCTATTTTTTCAGTCTTTACCCTTTCACTATCATGTTTGGTATGTAGAAAATATTTAAATGATCTGTGGATTTGATTAATTTGACTTAGTTTCTGGTCCTGTTTGAAATCTTACTGTGTAGGTGCTTCCTTTTAATTTAGGTGCTTATTTAAGAGTGGCTAAATCTAAGAAAGGCAATCCAAGGACAGGCAAGAGTACATCCACATAGAGTACACACTATAATAAGATATGTAATACGGGACTTTTCTATCTGAAAGGCTGTGGAGAGCTTTAAAAAAGAGATTGGTTTGGGGGACAGGGGGAGGTTGGGGAAAGGGTCCTGAGTCTAACAGTTTCACTAGAACATATTAAGCAAAGGTTAGATTTTGGTCCTTCTGGAAAAAATAATAATTAGTACAGAGGATTAAAAAAAAAAAAAAAAACGCTAGTCATGCTAAATAAGAAGGTAAACTGAGTACAATTTAGAATCTGTGGAAAGTTAACATAATGATCAAAGCAAGAAGAACAACAACAAAGTGTAAATCAGTTACTGGAGCAGTTACAATAGAACACATGCTCAGAGATCTAACAGAAGACTAGGACATTAACCAGAAACATGTATAATCAAACAGGAACAAATGAGAGAGTCCAAGATAGGGGAAAAACAAGAGACAGGCTAGTAGTAGTAGAATGGACAGAAGTGAAATCAAACTTAGTTACGGACTAGATAGGTGAGTTCTAACATACGTCTGAGAAGTGATCCATGTTGACAAAAGAGATTAAAGAAATAACGGCTGAGATTTTCTAAGAACTTAAGTCTCATAAAACATACAGTTTTGGAAAATGGTGAAGAAAAAGTAGGGAGGGCATAAATTGCCATTGGGAAGAAAAGCATCTACCATGTATCCACAGTTACACTCAAAATATTTGGTAACTGTTCATTTGCTGAGGTGTGATAATGTTTATATGTATTTTTTTAAATTTTATCTTTTATACTAAAATATTAATGAATAAAATACCTGGGATTTACTTCAAAGGATATGTGGGAAGAAGGAGATGTGAAAAAAGATTGGCCATGAGCCAGTGACGGCTGTAATTGAGTAATGGCTACATCAAAGTTACAGTACTTTCAAGTGTTTGATGTTTTCTAATAATAAAAGGTTAAAATAGAAATATTTTAAAATAAACACTTGAAATTGTTTATACCAATACATGTTTTAAGTCTCAATAATAAGTATAATAAATGGTGTTTACTGAACATATTGTATATACTAGCTTCTATTATGAGCCATTAACATGTATCAGCTCAAACTAAACTCGTGTGACAAACTGTGAGGCCTTGGCCAGTTACGTCACCAGAACGTACCTTGTTTCTTCCGCTTTGGAAGGGGAATAACAACAGTCATAGCACAGGATTATTGTGACGATTAAGTTGGTACACTTAATACCTGTAAGAGATCCTGGCACATAGTAAGAGCATAACACACCTTAGTGATCACCAAGAACTGAATAAACAGACAAGTTCCCAAACTGTTAAGGCCCACCAAGTCCTCACTAGGCTATACTTAAACAGTAACAAACACAGGAGATTTAATGTAACCTTGATTAAAAAAAAAAAAAAAAAAGGAGAACACCAGAATGGAAAAGTATAGGCCAATCTTACTTATTTGATTATGGGTACAAAAATGTAAGTAAAATACTGTCAAAATCCAGTATGTTGGATTAAAAGAAATATGTATCATTAAAAGTAAGATGGTTTCATGTATCATGAAAAGGGTGTAGAGCTGGTTAAGTGTTACCACTGCTCTCTCAAGTGAATTCAGGGCATTATTAAAGGAATTGCTAAAAGAGTCAATAGGTGTTGGAAAGCACAGGATAGAATAACATTCACTCATGATCTCCCTCCCCAAAAGAAAACACTCTTAGCAAACAAAGTCGCAAGTATCTTCTTTAACTTGATAAATGTTATTTATCAGAAGCCCACAGCAAACATCTTTATTTAACACGAAAAACTTAGGGGCTTTACAATATGAGACCCCCTTGCAGTGTTACAATGCACAACTACCGGGTCCTAGCCAATGCAATAAAAGCAAAAGATGTAAGAAATACAAAAGCTGAAAAGAGACAAAATTAACATTGTTGGCAGATAAAGATGAAGCCAACTTCCTAGATAATCCACAAATTATTAGAACGTAAAAAGAGTTCTGCATGGCAGGATACAAGTTCACCATGTGAAAATCACTAATGTTCCTATGTATCAATGGAAACCAAACAAAAGATCATAAAAAGAGGCCATTCTTAGGAATGACAGACTCTAAAAAGGCACCTAGAAATTACCCTAAAATGAAACTGGCAAAGACAATGAAGAAAACTGTAAAATGTAAGTGATAACTACAAAAGACCTGAAAAAGGGAGAAAAGATATCATGTTCATGAACAGAAAAACTCAAAAAGAGGTTACTGTCCTCTAACCAATCTATGTATTGAGGGCAAACCAAGCAAAACCCCAGTAAAACTTTTTGTGTTCCTTGAGCATTCAGTTTCAAGACTAATATGAAACAGGACAGGAAGGAATCAAGGAGTAGAGGTATTTGGAAATGAGTGTACAAGTAAAAATGAAAATACAGATGTTTGAAGCACAAAAAAACATGAAACAATGAATGTAGAGACAGCCAAGACTACAGGAGCTTGCTCTTTCAGATGTCAGAACATTAAAAATCTATAGGAATTAAATGTAGGGAAATAACAAAAAATAGATTAAAGGGCCAAACAGATTTCAGAAACTATATGACAATTTAGTATTTGATACAAAGGAAACTCAATGAGAAAAGAGGAGACTATCCAATAAAAAAAAAAAGTCATCCATTAGAAAAATAAGTAAAATCAGACCATAACCTTATACCAAAATAGGATTCAGATGAAATAGACAATGAAATGTAAAAAACAAAAATAGAAAAATGTAGGAGAATGTTTTTAAAGTGCTGAGTTAGAAAAAGCATTCTCAAGATTCCAAAAAAGCCAAAAATAAAAGATGAAGCCATTTGATTATGTGTAACAAAAGTACCTATAAACAATGTTAAGGGAAACTGAGACACTGGAAGAAATATTTACAACCTATGCTACAAATAACAGAGAGCTAAGAGAAATGGCCAAAGTATATTAACACACAATTTCAGAAGAGGAAACACAGGCCATAAACACAAAAGATTCTCAAACTTCCTGGTAATCAAGAAAATGCAAATTAAACTAACATTAGGATACAATTTTTCACCCATCAGATTAGGAGAAGCTTTTCAACTTTAAAATGACGAGAAGATGGGGGCACCTGGGTAGCTCAGTCAGTTAAGCATGCAACTCTCTCTTTCAGCTCAGGTCATAATCTCACAGTTTGTGAGTTCAAGCCCCATGTCGGATAATGTGTCAACGGCGTAGAGCCTGCTTGGGATTCTCTCTCTCCCTCTCCCCCATCCCCTCTTCACTCTCTCGATCTCAAAATAAATAAACTTTAAAAAAATTCAAATAAAATGATGTCAGAGAAACAAGTATTCTCATGCTGGGAGGGGGATAAACCGGTAAAACCACTAGGAGAGAAACATTGCAGTATCTTTAAAACTAAAAATGGGCATACCTGTGAGCCAATTTTTCTACTCATGGTAATTCCACTGGTATGCCCAAGATACAAACCATGTAAATGCCCACCTACAGGGAAGTCAGCAAGTCCAGTATGCATACAGCACGGAAGTAATGAACCAGACTGAAATGTACCAACAAACTGGACTCTGGGCTACTGGACCTAAATGTAGAACAGTTTTTACCTCTAGCTAGCTGACCTCTAAAGTTGGGAGCTTTGGTCTTATTTGTATTAAAGATGTAAAACATCTGTAATGTTTCAATTTCATATAACGATAAACTCAGAAACTGCACATAAACTGCACTATAAACTGCACATTTAATAGTTTTTAATAGAACAGTGGGCACAAGCCATATACATATGCAAGCCATATAAATTCTAGTTTCATTTCTACCAGCATCATCACCTGGAACGATTCATTCAATCCCTCTGTTTTCTTAACACTAATGTGCCACCAGAGGTTCCTGGAAAAAAATGGGATTTCCATTCTAAATGTGTGTGTGTGTGTGTGTGTGTGTGTGTGTGAGAGAGAGAGAGAGAGAGAGAGAGAGAGAGAGACTGACTGTGTGTGTCAAAAACAACCATATTTTTCCAAGACTTTTATCACAGGTACTCTAACTGGCAAAATTCCACTTCAGTGCCAAAAACAATGACCTAATGTGAAATTCATTTTGAAACTTTTCTGACTACATTTTGAGCCACACATTTCAAGTCACGTTTTTTAAGTTTGATTTAGCTGGGTTTTTTTGGGGGGGTGGGGGGATATTTTTTTTTTTTTTCAGATCCTTTCCCTACCTCTGCACATCCAGGAGCTTGTAGTTAGGGTTCTCGTATTTTTCCCACCTCATTCCCAGCATTAAGTCTTCTATAGCTATCCCCAGTCTAATTTTAAACCTCTCATTTCATCTGGAGTATCAAACTGAGCATCTGATAAGCCAGTTTGGGAGCTTTCACATTCATGAACAAATGGCACCTTTGTGCTAGTCTCTACATCTTCTCTCCCTGTCCAGCATTTCACTGATTTCAAGAAGAGAGGTCACTGCAGTCTGTGTGCGGACTATGCAAACATATGCCACCATGCAAATATATGGTGTTAATTTCATTCCAGTAAATTTAATCCCTAAGCAAATCTGAAATAGCGTGTTTTTTTTTCCTCCCCAAGGTATGGAGCAGTTTCAGCAGGAATGCTGTGTGCCCTTACCACCCTGTCCCAGCAACTGGAGAATGAAAATGCTGTGGATGTTTTCCAGGTTGCAAAAATGATCAATCTTATGAGGCCTGGAGTATTCACAGACATTGTAAGTACTTTGCTTCTTTGTGAAACCTGTTCCTCCATCAACCGAAACTCAGGCAAACACTTGAATTAGAGCAGCGGTTGTCAGTGAGGGGTGGTTTTGCCCCGCCCTCCCACCCCCAGGGGATGTTTGGCAACATCTGGAGACTTTTTTTTTTTTGGTCGTCACAACTGGCGATGAAGACCAGTGCTCTGGCACCGACTGAGCAGAGCCCAGGGAAGCTGCTAAACATCTTGGCACGCAGCAGACACACCCTCTCCAACAAAGAATCATCTTCCTGAAAACATCATTAGTGTTGAGAGCGAGAAACTCTGCTTTCTAGAGTATGGTATTCTCCAGTGCTAGCACAGGGATATTCCATTCTCTTAATTCACTGTCAGTACTGAGAATGAGTTCCCAACTAACAACAATCAAAGTGACATGCAGAAGGCAAAGGTCTCCACTATGAAAGGATTCAAGTCATTTTTTAAAGTTTCTTAGCATAAATGTATATTCTTGTTTTTTTATAATTACCTTTTTAAAAAATTGGTCTTTCTACCTTAGATGAAATGACTAAGCTGTTCTTTGTCTCAAACTGTCTTCTCCTTGTTTTTCAGGAACAATACCAGTTTGTCTATAAAGCAATGCTCAGCCTGGTCAGCACTAAAGAAAATGGAAATGGTCCCATGACAGTGGACAAAAATGGTGCTGTTCTCATTGCAGATGAATCAGACCCTGCCGAGAGCATGGAATCTCTAGTGTGATTGGAATCCCGAACGGGCACTTAATTTGTAAAACTTCTGAAGACTGAGAACTTTTTTGAGGCCTTTTTTGCCAGACTCTAGGTTATACAATAACCCAGTTACTTTTTTACACTGATAAAAGTTTTGATATTTATTTTTTGCCATTTTATGTCTTAATGGTATCCTACTGAGCATTTGCACCTCTGTTCATTTCACACAGTGAAACGCAATTTTACCTAGTTTGCACTATATGATCAGTGTTACTGCCTATAATCTAATCCTAAAGCAAGCCCTGATGTGACATTCCATGAGAACACACATGCTACTTTTTAGTTCAGTACAGTGAAGGTTTTGTCAGGACAGTGGATCTTGGTTTTTTTATTATTATTGCGAAAGCAGCTGCATCCTCCTAGCAGGCAATGCTGAGCTTTTCCTCGGTCCTCTCCTCTGTTTGTTTTAGGCACTGCTCAATACTGTCTGCCTTCTGTACTTTAATGGAGTGGATGGGCATTGTTTTCTTATAAAGAATAGCAGGTTCCTGGGAGCTACTGAGACAGTCTGTTAACCTCATGGCCTTGAAACAGTTCCGTTTATGACGGTAAAGGTATCCATTAAGAAATTAGAAGGCTTAAGAGCTTTATGTGAACATCACTTATTAGTTGAAGTTATATTCATAGCTTAAAAAAAAATTCCCCAACTGTGTCAAAATAAAGGATATCTCTGTATTACAGTTTTCACAGTAGCTATGTGGACGGTGTGTGTTATTTCCATCTTGACCCTCTGAAATAGCTACACCCTGCAGTCAGGGCTATCTTTTACAATAGGGATATGGCAATAGTTTACACATCTCCGCTATCCCTTTAGTAACTCTCCATTAATGCTTCTTGGTTTCTAATACCATACATCATGGCAGGTAGAACAATGAAAATTTCTGCAGGTGTGTAACTTTGAAATTAGCCCTCTAAAATATCCCTATTACTCGTCTAGCACTCTAATAAAAACTACCTAGTTAACATTCTTTTCTTTCCTTTTTTGCCAAATATTTCCTGATAAATTCCATAATGACATATATTCTTGTAGTTAGGATAAAACTGAAAATACTTTATTAGCAAAAGTCTTGGGACTATGTAGATTCCCACACATGGAGAAGTCTGATTTGGAAAGACGAAATCAGAATCTTGAATAAAAGAGGATATGGACATTTTCAAATAGATTTTCAAAAATGGGGATGGCTTGGTGTGGTTTAGCCCCAAGAACAGACACACTTCCCTCAAAGAGGCTAATAATCATTACACAGAGCCCAAGGAACTTATCTGATCTAGCCTCTGGAGCCATATTCACCCTGCCGTAAGTACACAATTGGGAAATAAGGAGCAATAAGAAATTTCAGTTCAGTTAGAAAAATAAGCTCCTTACTGAGATCTGTTCTATTACATATTTGTGTTTAAGGGATGACTTCTGTTAGAAGTGAAGTCATCACCAGAACTGGGCGTGTCAAGAAGAAAAGAGTTTTGGTTAATTTTTATGTCAATAAACTTCAACAACAACCCCAATACTGGCTACTATCATACTATCTGGGTAGGTTCTGTGACATTAATGATAATCAGCGCTGAGATTCTATTTCTCTTAAGTCAGCTTTCTGTGAAGTCTGTCAGAGTGGTGCTGAGGAAGCAAAGCCACTAAGGAGAGGCTACCGGCCAAGTTTGCGAGTTCCGATGCATAGCCAGTTGATGGCGTTTTCATGAACTGTGTCACTTGCCAGGGTTAATCTCATGTTTTCATCACATAAATTCTACAACATGGCAATAGTCCACTGTTCACGAACCATGTAGGTGAGGCTTAAGGAAAGGTGCGCAAGTGAGCGAAGTCTGCTAAACTGTACGTGCTAGAGGAAAGAACACCTCTGCGGCCCCTCCGCTGCCGTCAGAGGTTAACACCAGGAAGCTCTATCTACACAGAAGGAGAGAAGCTTGAACACGAAACACCACAGCTGCCAGAAGGCTGAGGGGAATCAGGAAGGGCAAGGTTGCAGATCATGGCAAGAGCTAGATCCTTTTCAGTCAATCAAGCAGATTATACTTAATTTATATAGAGTATTGATAGGAGTGAACTCTTTTTTAGTAGTTGGCACAGGTTTGGCTGTGAGAAGTAATGTTCGAGTTGGGGTTCATGGTCCCTTGGTAATTTTTTCTGAGACAAGTGAACACTGCTTAGAAAACAGCACGTATTTCCTTCTGTGCTATTTATAGAGGGCTCAATTCGTGAAAACCGTTAAGTTCCAACACAATTCTGTGACCATTTCTTACATGGGTATCGTAGTTACAATAAAAGAAAGATCGCGAGTAAACAGAAGCATTGAAAAGGGTGGCTTGAAGTTCTCAGAGAAATTGTGTGTCTATAGTGGGCTTGAGCCAAGGTCTGCAAATCCTCACACACTGGAACATGAGCAGTTGCTGTTTGCCCATCTTGCCTAAGTGGTCCAAACACACTTCAGTGAGGACAGCTCTGTTCAGCAGTTCTTTCCTCACTTGCCCCAGAGAGTGTATCCTGAATATGATCTTTCATTTGTTATCAGTAGAAATACGCTTGCATCTTTCCAGAGGCAGAGAGTTTCAAAGATGGTGTTTTGTTTGAGACATGAACACACTGCTTAACTACACAACAAGGTTATTACCATTTGCACTCAGGGGGAAAGGAAATAGCTATTGCAAACGATCATGTGCTATTTTATAAAATAAGCTGGTGGGTGTATGAATTTAGCTCTAGGTGAACAGAATGCACACATCATACAACACTGGACTGCAGTGATCACAACAAGTGGCCATACTGGGCATCAGAGGAGACCCCTTACCGGCATCAGGAGAACTCTTTTTGCATCCAAAAGCCACAATGTCTTCTTTTATATACGCGTGTGTTAAAAAGTTAACTTCTGAATTTCAAAAGTAAGATCATTGAATTGGTTTTCCTAAATTTTTATGCCTTGGAGCTTTAAGAGTCTATTTCAAGTTGAAGAGTCCAGCACGGTCAGAGAAGTTGATGGTGTTCAAGGTTTGGCTGTTGGAAATTTTAGCCCAGAGTGACATACTGAAATCAACAAATAACCTTAATTATTTTATAATGACACAGCACAACTGCCTTGTTAGGAATTTTTTTCTTAAAATGCATATATATTTAAAAATTAAAATATAGATACCAATTTACCAAAGATACATATTACTAATTCTAAGCAAAAAATAAACCCAAACTCATCACAATTTAAGAAATAATAATCAAAATGTAGTTTGTCTTAAGAATTTAGCAATTATACTGGAAAATGCATTTTCAACTCCTGTGTTCTAAAGATTATGTTCAAAAGGTGCCAGTGAATTTTTATATGAAGGGAAAATGCCTGCTTTTTTTTTTTTAAACAGCTATAATTTCACTTACCCCTTTGCGCTTTCCCTTAGTTGCCATTTAACATGCGATACTGGCTTTACTTATCTCTAGAAAGAAGGCATGCTACAAATAGGAAGGAATTGTACTAATATTTGGCCTCTACTTTGTCTTAGCTGTTAAACTGTTTTTAGTATTTTTGTTAAATATTTGCAAAGGGAAGCATTTTCTACAGAGGATAATTAATTTCAAGAAAAATCTTGAGTTTTAAGAAATAAACATCTCCAGGAAAGGAGACAGCCGATTTTATAAAATGTTGCAACTCTCCAACATTTGGGGTAGTGACTCCTTTTTTGTTAGGACATTTGAAACTAGCAAGCAGCCATTGTTTCTAAAAAAGAAAAAAGAAAAAAAAACCTCAGCCTTCATGTTAATTCATGTTTCTTTCACTTCATTTTGAAATAGCTAAAATCATTAAAACTGTAAATATTTTGTTGCTTGGATAAGCATCTTCTGGAAACTTTGTATCTATGGTATATAATCATAGAATTTTATATTTTCATATAAAGCTAATTTTTTTCTAGTTTCAACTCCGTCATAGTTTTGTTTTGTTTTTGTTTTAGTTTTTTGGGTTTTTCTTTGTGGTGGATATGTGAATTCAACTTTCTGTATATTGAAGTAGCAAGAACTGTATCTTTGCATTCCAAAAGAATCCAACACGTGTTATTTCTTTGAGGCAGTGATTGTGAAAATTGGGTTTTCTTTAATTCCATTGACCATTTGTGCAATAGGAATTAGACATAATTAGTCACTGAATACATTCGTTGCATTGACCCATTTGGAAAAAGTGATTGTTGTTTTGTTTTGTTTTTTTAATTTGTTCAGGGGGGAGGGGTTTTGTAACCTGAAATTTTTCCCTTTTTTCTTCTGTTTAAAACTATATCAAATCATTCTATTATAGTGTTATTTAATATGTAAATTGTATTGCTATACATAAAATAAAGTATGGTTTTTGATGTAATCATTAGTGCTGAGCATTTCTATGAAAGTATCTCCAATAAAATTAAGTTACTAGTCTCCCTTAACAGATAACATTTATTTTACTACCATGAAAACTAAGAGGGTTGGCAGGCATAAATGTAAAGAGTCATCTTCACATAGGCAGCAAACCAAAAGAAATGTCTGTTCTGAATTCCACCTTTCTCAAAGAGTGAAGAATGACAAATGTTTACCTACATATGGAATCAAACTTGATTTGCATTATGAATCTGCTAAGGTGTAAGCAGAATTATTACTTCCTCCAGTATACCAACTAGATTTATAGCAACTTCTACCTCTTATTTACGATGTTGGATGAAGGATGTATCCTGCCAACACTTTTGGAGACTCTATGAGATGTATGTAGGATCCCTACAATCGCTTCTACTTATGAGCAATTTTGACATTTCCAAACAGGGAGGGGTACGCAGGTCTCAAACCTGACGGCTTGGGCCCACCATGCCCCGTGAACTTTCGGTGGGTTCACATCAGGAGCTCAGTACTGCCAGGGCCCCCATTTTTCTTTCCACAGACAACAAGAGCTGACGTTTCATTCTCCCTAAGTAACTAGGAATTTAAGAAAAAATATGTTCATCTATTCCAGGGCTCTC